TTTGTTAGAAATGATGAACACTCAGAGACTGCTAAAAAATGAACCTGTAGTCTCATCCTGGAAGTGGCCCAACTACAACACAAATGTGGCAACACGGGTCAGGCCGTTGGAAGGAATCTAATTAGGAAACTGATGACAAAGACATCAAGGGTAGAGGTAAGTGTACCCACCTCGTGGAATGGGTAAAAAGCATAAAAGTGTTTGCATCCCATACAAGTGTCCACCAAACTGTGTCCACCACAGTGTGGAGGATTTTAACAATAAAGAAGATATGATGATCATTTGTGGGAATGCCAGTCAGTCTCTTTCACCAGGGCCATAGGCTCATGAACAAAGTGGCCATGGTGGCAGGGATGGCTCAGCAGCATGGACTTCCATTCACCAACATCAACATGCCTATAGTCACTGTTTGAGTGTCAAATTGACAGGATGAGAGACCAGCATTGGACCCCTGATAAAGCACCATTCCTGAGGCTGATCTGACAGCCACTTGGTGGCAGGTTGACAATGAAGGGGCAGTGATTAGTTCTTACTGAAATGGTCACTTCCTCTGCATACAAATTTCCCTTCCCTACAGACACTGCCTCTACCCAATTTATCATCTGTGGATGTACACAGTGCCTTATCCACCCTCATGGAGTAGCTTCTGGTTGAGGACCTCCCTTCCCTGCTAATGCATTTGGCAATGGCCCGTGCTCATGGATTCACCATCTTACATAATCCTCACCATCTTTTTTTTAACTAGTTTTTTTTTAACTGTCATTTTATTTCTTTTAATTTTATTTTATAATTTTTACATTTACTTACATGTGTATACATTATTTGGACAACCACCCCCACCCCACTCCTCACCATCTTGAATACTAGAATGGTCTTTTGAAAATTTAGAGAAACTGGGCGCCAGTGGCTCATGCCTGTAATCCTAACTACTCAGGAGGCAGAGATCAGGAGGTTCGCATTTCAAAGCATGCCTAGACTCAAGGGAGTGAAATGGAAACTCTCCCATTTTCTATTACCCTTGGTGATCCATGGGCAAAATGTGTGCTTCTTATTCCCTTAGCCTTGTGCTCTGCTAGTCTAGAGGTCTTAGAGTTTTTTGTTTGTTTTAATGCTGTTTTGCTTTTTTGGCCATATTAGAGATTAAACTTCAGATCTTTACAACTTGAGCCAGGTTCTGAGTTCTCTTTTGCTTCCATTTGTTTCTCAGAGAAGGTCTCATAGTTTTGCTCAGGCCAGCTGTGATCTTCTGCCTCCTGAGTAGCTGGGACCACAGGCATGTGCCACCCACATCCAGCTTGTTGTTTTTGAACTGGAGTTTGGACTTCTTGCTTGCTAGGCAGGCGCTCTAGCTCCAGCCTTTTTGGCTCTGGTTATTTTGGAGATATGGTCATACATTTTTCCTCAGGCCAGCCTGGACCAACATCCTTCTCTGTGAAGGTTCCTGCTATCCCTGGGGTGACAGGCATATGCTAACATTCATTGAGGTAAGGACTTTCAAACTTTTTTGTCCAGGCTGGCCTGGAACTGCAATGCTCCTAATCTCAACATCTCAAGTAGCTAGGATTACAGGTGTAAGTCACTAGCACCTGGCTTCCAGCTTGTTATTGAGACAAAGTCTCACTAACTATTGCCCAGGCTGACCTCAAATCACAATCCTATTTCCACCTCCTGAAGCTGCCCCTAAAGGTCTTACTTTATGGGTTTTTGGTGCTACTGGAGGTTGAACTCAGGGCTTGTACTTGCTTGGCAGGTATTGTACTATGTGAGACACACTCGTTCTTTATGCTTAGTTAGGTATTTGTTAGTTAGTTTAGTTTGTTTTTATTTTTGATTGGTGGTACCAGAATTTGAACCTGATTGGTGCTGTGGCACTTTCTAGGCAGGGGCTCTATGACTTAAGCCAGGCCTCCAGCTTGAACTCAGGGACTACACCTTGAGCCAGTCCACCAACCCTTTTTTGTGATGGTTTTTTTCACAATAGCATCTCAAGAACTCTTTGCCTGGGCTGGCTTTGAACTGTGATTCTCCTGATCTCTGCCTTTTGAGTAGCTAGGATTATAGGTGTGCGCCACTGGTGCCAGGCTCCAGCCTTCCTTAGTTAGTACTTGAGATAGGTTCTCACTTTTTCCTTCTTGCCCAGGTCAGCCTGGACCTCTATCTTCCTATTTGTGTTTCCCTATGTAGCTGGAGAGGACAGATGCACGCCACTGTGCCCAGCCAATTGGTTGAAATGGGGTCTTAGTGAATTAACCTCTTGGGAGCTACATTACTTCTTTTAGGAGAATCATGGCTCAATCAAAACAGCAGAGAGGCTAGCATTGTGGTTTCAGGACATTATGAAATATGAAAGTATGAGTTATGGCAGGCTGCAGATCTCTACGAGGTCTATGTCGGGTGCTGGCATGCCAGAGACATAGTGGCTGGGAAAGAAAGGAAAATTGAAAGGTGGGGGAAAGTGGAGAGAGAGACAGAAGGAGAAGTACAAGAGGAACACTTAAAAGCAAAAAGAACTTCATTCATTCATGAACGTTTATCAGCACTATGTAACAGGCTCTGGTACATTCTGGAGATACGAAGAACAAGGTGGACAATGACCTTCGCAGTGCATACCTGTCTCATAGCTGTAATCCTAGCTACCTGGGTGGCAGTGGAGTGGCTCAAGCATAAGAATACCTGCCTAGCAAGCATGAGGCCATGAATTCGAACCTCAGCGCCATCAGAAAACAAACAAACAAACAAACTGAGACATAGCTACTTGGGAGGCAGAGATCAGGAGGATCATGACTTAAGTCCAGCCTAGGCAAATAGTTCCTGAGACCCCCCCCCACCTCCAAAATAACCAGAGCAAATAGACTAGAGGTGTGGCTCAAGCAGTAAAACCCCAGAAATGCCAAAAACAAACAAACAAAAAAGACAAACTAATTTTGTTTTTATAATTACAAGTGCTCCAAAAAATGAAGTATACAGCATACTGATAACCAAAGTCAGGAGGTCAGGACTCTCCAATGGGGCTGGGACACTTGATGAACTAATAACAGATATGCTCTATCTATGCAAGGACTCTGAGGCTTCTGCTCTTGCTGGTGAACTTGAGTGCTGTATAAGAAGACCCATCTCTGTTCCCAGGTCATTCTGTCCAGACCTTGAGAGGAGCACATAAGAGATGGGCACAGCCTGGTTGCCTCCAGCCTCAACCAGGAGCATTGGAGAGCTTTGACCAGCTGTTGGGAGGTCAGTGTGAGACTGTGGTTAGAGACTATAGCTAGCAAAAAAGCCAAGGAAATCTGGACAGTCACAGTTGGGTGAGATTCATCTCTGGAGCAACCGAATAGAAATAGAACTGGATGAATGTTAGGTTGTGCCAGATGGTTTTCTGGGGGCCTTGGACCAGCCTGGTTCTCTCCCACTTCTCATTTGCAGTTGTCAAAATATAGCTGTGAAATCTGGGAATGTAATATCCTGAGATAGGGAGGGACTGGCCTAAAACCCAGGCTCTGATCTAGTCCCTCTAGAGGAGATGTCCTTGGAGGCTTTGGCTCAGTGTGTCATGCCCCAGGGGAGTGGGGTTGGGTATAAAACCAACCCCACTCCTGCTTTCCAGACTCCCTCAGCTGGCAAGCAGGTGGGCAGTGCACAGCTGAGACTCCATCTGTCCTGGGCATTTTTCTGAGCTTTGAGGGACTGGGTCATGATGAATTCTAGGATTCTGATATAATAAGGCTTCAGAAGGCAAGGAGCTTACTGTCTGAAAAAATAAGAGAGGCTCCCAAACTTTCTCGGTTTGTGGTGTCTCTACTTGTCTCGGCTCATGGAAGCCAAAAGAAGTTAAGAAGTTAGGTGCAGCCAGGTGCAGGTGGCTCACACCTATAAGTCCTAGCTTCCTGGGAGGCTAAGATGGAGAAGATAGGGATTTGAGGTCAGCCCCAACAAATAGTTGGAGACACCCCATCTCCAAAATAAACAGAGCAAAATGGACCGGGGGTGTGGCTCAAGTGGTTGAGCACCTGCTTTGCAAGTGAGAAGCCCTGAGTTCAAACCCCTAACATGTGCAAGGGCCTGAGTTCCACGTCCAGCACAACCAAGAAAACCCAGCCAACCAAACAATCCCTCCAAAGGAAGCCTGACACTTTTCTAAACTGACAGAAATGTCTCTCATCTTCCTAACGTGATGAACGAAGGCGGAACTGCGTGATGGATAAAGGCGTGCCACCCACTGTAGTTTGTCATTTCTCTTCAACTTCTTGTGCAGGTTTAACTTTTTTCATGATCAAATGTTGGGCATTTTAATTGAACTCTGAACGTAAGGTCTGCATTGCTGTTTCTTTTTGTTGTTGTTGTTCTTTTGTTTATTATTATTATTTTTTTTCTCTTTCTTTTTGCATTGCTCTCTGTTAGTGAGATGTAGGAGAGACAGACAGAGGGAAAACTTGGACCTAGGAAGGGGGTGGGTAGAAAAGGAGTAAAAGGAAAAGCATCCTATGGGATCATAGGTGTGGACGGCCTGTGTAGGAAATCAGTTTTTATTGGCTCCACGCCTGGGTTTTTGGGTTAGGACTAATGTTGTGCAAGCAGCTGTGGAGGACGGGGCTGACTTCTTCCACAAGACTCTAGGATGGCCTCCGTCTCCCTCCCCTAAGCAGCCGAGTCCCAATGCCCGCGATCGTTCTGCACTTGGCCAGCGCTACAGTGCAGGCAGAGGCCTTGACCTTCCGCCACACCTGACTTCCACCTCTGCAGTGCCCGGCGCGCCCCTTCCCCCCGCCCCCTCCTCCCGCCGGCCCGCCCCGCCCCGTGCAGGTCATTTCCGAGCGTCTCGCTCCGCCCCCTGCCTCCCGCCACTCCCTGAAGTCCCGCCCCCTCCACCCCATCCTCTCCGCCACGCCCCTGCGCCTCGCTGGCCCCGCCCTCTGCGTCACGCCCTCGGCCACGCCCCCTAGGCCCGCCAGTGCGCCCCGCCCCTGCGTCACGACCGTGCGCCCCGTCCTCTGCGTCACGCCCCGTCAGGCCTGGCGCGCCTCCAGCCGGCGGCCGACCCGGCCATTAGGGTGCCGCTGAGATGGCCGCACCGGTCACTCGGCAGGTCAGCGGCGGCACCGGCCTGGCCCTGGCTCCGGCCTCCACCGGCCCCGAGAACGGACAGCCCCTGGAAGCCGCCGTGGCCGAGCTGCCCGTGCTGGACGCCTCCGGGAAGCGGGTGCCGTTCGGTGCGCTGTTCCGGGAGCGCCGGGCCGTGGTGGTCTTCGTGCGGGTGAGCGCGGGCTGCGGGCAATGGAGCGAACCCTCTCGCTTGCTAGGAGGGAGGTATCTGGATGGGGTGGGCTGGGCCCAGCTCTTCCCGCTGGGGTTCAGGGCCTTCCGAACGCCGGGCTCCTGCCGTTCCCTTTAAACGGGGAAAAGGAAAAGAGCCTCCCCACCACGGGAAGGCCATTTTCCCAGCTAGCGGGGCAGCACGCAAGGACTGGGCGCTTTGGCATCTTGACGCTTTCCTCCCGCAGAGGGGTTGCGTTATCACTGTCACGCATCGGGAGGGATCAGTCCCTGTTACGAAGCGTGCTAACTTGCCCTTTTCCTGTTGGATTTCAGCATTTCCTGTGTTACATCTGTAAAGAATACGTAGAAGATCTGGCCAAAATCCCCAAGAGTTTCTTACAAGTAAGTTTTCCGGGAGTGGGTCCTGCTTCTGGACACCCTGTCCCTTAACAAATGCTGTGGGTCCTACTTCTGGACACCCCGTCCCTTAACAAATGCTGTGGGTCCTGCTTCTGGACACCCCGTCCCTTAACAAATGCTGTGGGTCCTGCTTCTGGACACCCTGTCCCTTAACAAATGCTGTGGGTCCTGCTTCTGGACATCCTGTCCCTTAACAAATGCTGTGGGTCCTGCTTCTGGACACCCTGTCCCTTAACAAATGCTGTGGGTCCTGCTTCTGGACACCCTGTCCCTTCCAAATGCTGTGGGTCCTGCTTCTGGACACCCTGAGCCTTCCAAATGCTGTGAGTCCTGCTTCTGGACACCCTGTCCCTTAACAAATGCTGTGGGTCCTGCTTCTGGACACCCTGTGCCTTCCAAATGCTGTGGGTCCTGCTTCTGGACACCCTGTCCCTTCCAAATGCTGTGGGTCCTGCTTCTGGACACCCTGTCCCTTCCAAATGCTGTGGGTCCTGCTTCTGGACACCCTGAGCCTTCCAAATGCTGTGAGTCCTGCTTCTGGATACCCTGTCCCTTAACAAATGCTGTGAGTCCTGCTTCTGGACACCCTGTCCCTTCCAAATGCTTCGGCTAGAGCTTCCAGCAGGTGTCCCCAGCCCAGCCCTTCTCCCCATGTCTCCCTGCACCTCAGCAGCTGGAGATGCACATTAGAGACCCACTCCTGCCAGGATTTATTTGCAGCTGCCTGGGTGAATGTACAGGAAAATACTACTATATCCTAAAGCAGCCTTTGTAAAACTAGGTTCTGTTTTCCCATAGACCTTTATCAATTAAGATTTGAAACAATAAAGTTGGCTGATGATTTAACCCTGGTTTTTAAAAATACTGTTTTATTATGTACATCTTTGGGGGAAAGCTTAGTAAATGACCGTATCATTTTGAAGAAAAAGAATTCTTTTTGAGACATCTCATTATGTAGCTCAGGTTGCCCTCTGCCATCTGAGTGCTGGAATTACAGTTGTGCCCTTCCCCCATGCCCAGTTGCAGAAAAATGTTGACTGTTTTTTTGTTTAGGGGTAACTTTTGATACATTTTTGAATTATAGAGTGATTATATCAAGCTATTAACAAAACCATCATCTAACAAACTTTTAAAGAACATTTGAAGACTGCTTTTAGGAATTTTGAAATATGCTTTTTTTGTGAGATGGGAGTTTGATCTCAAGGCTTTGCACTTGCAACACAATTGCTCTACTGCCTGAGCCACACCTCCAGGCCATTTTGCTCTAGTTATTTTTGGAGATGGGAATCTCACGAACTATTTGCCTAGGTTAGACTTGAACTGTGATCCTGCTGATCTGTCTTCCAAGTAGCTAGGATTACAGGCCTGAGCCACCAATTCCTGGATACAATACATTGTTAATTATAGTCACCATGCTGTGTGACAGGTTTCTGAAACTATTTCTGTTACCTCAATAAAACTTTCTACCCATGAGCAAAACCTCCTTATTCTGAATCCTCCTTTCTCTGCCTCTGCTAACTATTACTCTACTTGTGAGAGCTAGACTTTTTTGGCGGTACTGGGGATTAAACTCAGGGCCTTGAGCTTAATAGGCAAGCCCTATACATACCACTTGAGCCATGTCCCAGTCCTTTTGCTTATAGTTTGTTTTTCAGATAGGTTCTCACACTTTTGCGTGGCTGGCCTGAGACTGTCATGCTCCTCCCTCTGCCTCCAGGGTAGCTAGGATTACAATTGTGTGCCCCTGAATTAGACTTTTTTTCTTTTAGTAGGACTGGGATTTGAACTCAGGGCTTTACATTTGCAAAGCAGGCACACCACACTTCAGTCACACAACAGTCCATTTTTGTCTGCCTATTTTTGGAGATGGGATTTTGAGAACTTTTTGCCCAAGCTGGCTTTGAACTGCAGTCCTCCCCATCTCAGCTTCCCAAGTAGCTAGGATTACAGGTGTGAGCTACCATTACCCAGCTTGAATTACACAGTTTGATTCCATATACAGTGTAAGTGAGATTGTGCAATATTTTCTGTGCCTGGCTTATAATGTCCACCAGGTTCATCCATGTTCTTAAAAAATTTTTCTTCCTTTTCATGACTGAATAGTTTCCCATTGTGATACCACATTTTTCTTTATCCATTTATCCATTGATGGACACTTTCACGTGTTAGTTACTAATAGTACATCAGCTGGGCGCCAGTGGCTCACGCCTGTAGTCCTAGCTACTCAGGAGGCAGAGAGCCACAGGACTGAGGTTCGAAGCCAACCTCTAGTAAATAGTTCTGGAGACCCTATCTCGAAAAAACCCATCACGTAAAAAGGGCTGAATGTGTGGCTCAAGTGGTAGAGCACCTGCCTAGCAAACACAAGGCCCTGAGTTCAGGTTTGAGTTCAAACCCAGTACTGCCAAAATAAAAAAGAGACAAGTTCATCAGTGAGCGTGGAATACACTTCTCTCTCTGACATGCTGATTTCATTTCCTTTGAATATATATCCAGAACTGGGTCACATGGTACATTCTATTTTTAATTTTTTGAGGAGCTCCCATAGTGTTTTCATAATGGTTGTGCTAATTTACCTTCCCACCCTCAGTGTGGAAGGGGTCTCACTTCTCCACATTCGTACAAACATTCATCTTTTGTCCTTTGATTAATAGCCATTTGTACTGGGGTGGGGGGGTGTTAGCTCATTGTGGTTTTATTTTGCATTCCCCTAAAGATCAGTAATGTGGCTGTTTTTCATGTCCCTGTAGGCTATTTGTCTTCGGAGAAATTTTTTTTTGGGGGTGCTGGGGTTTGAACTCAGGGCCTCACACTTGCTAGGCAGGTACTCTGCCACTTGAGCTGTGACACCAGCCCCAAGAAATTTCTATTCAGGTCCTTTGTCCATTGCATTTTTTCAGTGCTGGAGATCTAATTGAGACTCTGTATGCCAGGCCAGCACTGTACCACTGAGCCACATCCTCTGCCCACTTTCAGCCATCTTTTAATTGGATTTTTTGTGTTCTTGCTGTGAAGATGCTTGAGTTCTTTATATGTATTAGATTTTGGTCTCTGTACAGATATTTTGTCCTAATTCATGAGCTGTCTCTTCACTCTGTTAATTGTTTCCCTTGCTGTGCAAAAGCTTTTAACTTTGATGCAACCTTGTTTGTTTATTTTTGCTTTTGTTGCCTGTATTTTGGGGCATATCCAAGAATCTTTGTCCAAACCAATTGAGCTTTTTCCCTATGTTTTACAGGTTTAGGTCTTACATTTAAGTCTTGAAATGCTTTCTTGACAAAAAAAAAAAAGAAAAATCCTGTGAATTAAACACTGTTAGCATACATTTCTTTGATATACCTTAAACAATTTGGCTGTTTTTTTCTTCGTTTCCTTTCTTCTAGGAGCCTATGAGCTAATGCTAGGTGGATTAGCGCTGTATCAGGGGAAGTTGTGTAATTTCTGATAATACATAGGTGCTCCTTTTTTCTCCTAAAGGAACAACTGAATTAAACATTTTTGGCATGTGTTTCTTCTCTATGACTTGTACAGTTTAGCAGTTTTCTTCCATTCTTCTAGGAGCCTATATGTGGCATTAGTGTTGAATCAGGGGAAGTTGTAGAAATATAATTTCTAATTATATGATTGTGTCCTTCTTTCTCCTCAAGGATGCAAATGTCACCATCATAGTGATTGGACAGTCATCGTATCATCATATTGAGGTAAATGTCTAGTGAATTTGTGAACAAGCAGTTTAAACCTGTCTCAGATGTAAAAATTGCATCATTTGAGCCACTGAGTATAGGCTACATTGGCTGATTAGTTACTTTTACATTACTGTTACTTTTCTCTCCTTTGGGCTTATAAAAATTCCAACTATTTTCTCTTCAGCCCTTCTGCAAACTGACTGGATATTCTCATGAAATCTATGTTGATCCTGAGAGAGAAATTTATAAAAGATTGGGAATGAAAAGAGGTGAAGAAATTGCCTCCTCAGGTAATACCTAACATGCCCCAAATAAAATAGACTGGTGGTGTATTTTTGCACATGCATGTGTGTGCATAGAGAGACAAGTGGTGCATTTATAAATAGCCTGCTTTTTCTAATCCAGTAATTAGTCTGTAGATACCATGCTCCAGGATTCATTTTCCAGGTGCATGTCATCTTCATGGCACTGTGACAAACACCTGAGATAAACAACTTATAAGGAGGAAAGGTGCATTTGGGCTCAAGGTTCAGAGGTTTCAGTCCCTGGTCAGTTGACTCCATTACTTTTGGGCCTGTATGGAGGTAGCACAGCATGGTGGGGAGCAGGGTAGGGAGGTCTCTTCCCTTCATGGTAGCTGAGAGGCAAAAGGAGAGGGAAGAGCCAGGGTCCCGGCATGCCCCCCGGTGACCTCACTTCCTTCCACAAGGCCCCACCTCTTCAAGGTTCCACTACCTCCTAATAGCACTGTAGGCTGAGGTCCAAGCCTTCGACACATGGACCTTTGGGAGACACTTCCAAACCAGAGCAAATGACTCGGGAAGCTTTTGGCAAAGTACTGTTGAATGAAAAAAAGGAAGTTGCAGGACATTGTTTCAGTTATGATTCAAATTTTGTGAAAACAGGAAGTGTTAAAGACCAGTGTGTATATGTGTGTGTGATTAAAAAGGTTTTAACAGATTTGCTGAGTGCCAGTAGCTCTTGTCTGTGATATAGAGTGAAGTTGTACATATTTGATACAGAGGTTGATAACCTTAGAGGTAAGAATTCGTCTGTGACTCCACAAATAATGTCATAATTTTATCACCTCCAAAAGGTTCTACTTGCCCATTCTTTTTGTATGTTATGATACTATTTCCCATAAGATATAGCCTCTTGCCAGGTGCTGGTGGCTCATGCCTGTAATGCTAGATGAGAAGATTGAGAGGCTGAGATCAGGAGGATCATAGTTCAAAGCCAGCCCCGGGAAAATAGCTCCCAAGACCCCATCTCCAAAATAACCAGAGGAAAATGGAGTGGAGGTGTGGTTCAGGCTGTATAGTGCCTGCTTTGCATTCATGAAGCCCTGAATTCAAACCCCAATCCCATCACACACCAAAAAGTTATTGCACTGTTTACTTAGTATGAAAGTAAGAAAATTGGCTGTTTTGAGAAGTGCTGGGAGTCATACCAGGGGCTCACATAGGCCATGCAAGTGCTCTAGAACTGCCCCACGCCCTCTGTTCAACTTCTTTTTTTTTTTTTCTTGAGGTACTAGGATTTGAACTCAGGGCATACACCATGAGCCACTCCACCAGCCCTTCTTTATTCTGGTTTTTCACAAGATAGGGTCTCTTAAACTATTTCCCCAGACTGGGGATTAAACCTTGATCGTCCTGATCTCTGCCTCCTGGTCAGCTAGAATTACAGGCCACCAGCACCTGGCACAACTTACTTTTTATGAGTACATTTTATTTTTGTAGTTAAAATAATTTTAAGTTCACACAGTTTCATATCTCAACACCATGGCTTTGGATACTCCGTGTCCTTTAATGAAGAAATTCTCCTTAATCATTTGAAACCCAACCCAAAGAGCCTCTTCATTGCTCTTCAAGCAGGAATTGCTTCCCTCCTTGGACCTCTCTGTGTACTCTATTACTGCACTGAGGTTACTGTGTGGAACAGTATAGTTAGTTGAAGTGTTTGATGGTTTTGCTTGATATTTTCTACATTCCCTGCCCTTTTTCACAATTGCTTATGATGAGTAGATCTTAGTAAACTTTAGTTGAACTGTTTATGTGTGTTTCAGGTAGGAAGAGCTTGGTGTCTGAAATGTCAGACAAGAGAGCTCTCACTCAGATCAGTCATTCTCTATGAATGTTATTGAGCTCTTGTTTGTGACACCACTGGATTGGATGCTTCCAAGACACAGTCCCTGCCTTCCAGAGATTTTAATGCCGTCTACAGGCCTGCACAAAGGCATGGGGAAATGTGACTCATTTGGAAAAGTGCAGGTCCCTGCCTCTGGCTCAAACCTAGGAGCCAGTGGGTAATTGGTGGGAGCCAAGGACAGGTTGGGGCTGACTGACCTGAATCTGGATGACGTGCCAGAGAGGTCAGGTATTCTGAAGGCAGTGGGGGAGCCATCCATTTGTGGGAGACAGTCACATACTCTGTGTGGAGAAGGAACAAGGTAGTGGTGTTTACTACAAGGGTTGTAGTCATGAGGTAGGAAGAAAGGAGAGGGGCTCAGGAGAGATGGGTCTGGGCTGTTTGTGAGTAGATTGTCATGATCCTTTTGCTGATTTTTTAAAGAAAGTGACCCAACTTTATTAAAACTGAGCATGAGCTAGCATAAACAGGAGCTTGTCCCCTCCCAGTACAGACTGCAACAATACAGATGTGAGCCTGACTTTGCTACACTGTGTCATGTGCTGTAACAGTCTCCCATGTGTAAGCTCTGTTTATGATTTAGTACTTTAGGTATATAAACTGTGAGTTTCAGACATTGCCACAATAAAGATAGGAAATCCCAAAGAAAATGGGTGAATTTAAAACCAAATAAATGCTTGTAATTAGGAGGATGCAGCCAAATCTTTTGACTCCTTAAAATATATTTTGTATTTATATAATATGTAATGTGAACAGTTACATGTAGATATGTATATAATGCACAGGCAAATTTATATAAATATGTATTTATAATGTATATGTTACATAAACTTTATTTGATACATAATAACTGTATAGTTATGTAGTATATAAATTCTGTTTTATAGTATTAAACTATTATATGTCCAAGCAGAAAGTAATAGTTTCTCATAAACTTTTTCTAAAGGTTTCTCCCCATAAAGCATGAAATTTGGGATCCATCTCAGAATAGTCTTACTTGAAGATTAAGGCACTAAATATATTATGCAATTGTAATTTAAAATTCATGTACTCTTTTGTTTGGTAGTACTGCAGTTGGAAGTCAGGGCCTTGCCACGTAGGTGCTCTACCACTTGAGCCACACCACCAGTCCTTTTGTTTTAGTTGCTTTTCAATAGGGTCTTGCATTTATGTCCAGCCTTCCTAGACCATCATCTTCCTGTTTACACTTCCCACGTAGCAGGAATTGCAGACATACAACATCACACCCTGCTTTTGGTTGAGATGGGCAGTCTCAGACTTTTTGCCCAAGCTGGCATCAAACCGCAGTCTTCCTAATCTCTACACTCTCAGTAGCTAGAATTAATTATAGGCATGAGCCACCTTTTTTTGGTAAAGGGTATTTTTTTTATTTTCAATTTCAAGAAGGGTATGTCTATTCAAGTGCTGTATGTACCCAGCAGTTCTGGGACACAGACCCATTCCATGAGGTAGTTCTGTCATTTCCCAGCCAAGCCATCCAAGAATATAAAAAGAAGGCAGAAAATCAAGTGTGGGAGGTTTCAGGAGCTCAGTGTGAAAGTGACTGTGTCACTCATTGTTAGAACAGTCACAGGCCATCCTGTCCTCAAGGAAGATTAGGAAGTGTAGTTTATCTGTGGGCCCAGAAGGAGGAGAAAGTTTTGTGACCAACATCTAACATTCTGTGCCACAACCAAATGTCAGTAGGTGAGGGACTGAACAGAGTGTAAATGGACAGTTAAGATGGCAGCAATTCCAATGTGAGACATCTATAACTGCCATTGTTCTGTGTAGACAATCCTGGTCTGTGCTCACTTCTTCCTTTAAGCAGCAGTTCTCAACTGGGACATTGCCTTCCCTGGGAGACATTTTCTGTCGTCACCACTGTCGAAAGGTGTTACTAGCATTAGTGGGCATAGAAGGCAAGGGTGTTGTTAAACACTAGACAAAGCATGAACTGGCAAAACACCAACAGTGAATGGTAGAGAAGATACTGAAGGAAGAAAAAAAGGCAAGTAGAAAGTGAGATGCTCTGCTCTAAACGTAGGAGTAAAGAAAGTAAGATGTGACACCAGAGAGTCACATCTTTGTCTTAATTAATTATCTTTTTTTTTAATTAATTATCTTTTGAGTTTTTAAGAGAGGGTCTCACTGTGTTGCCCCAACTGGCTTCAAACTCGTGACCGTCCTGCACCAGCCTCCTGAGTGCTGGGATTACAGGAGTGTTAGCTGAGACTGTTTTATAGCAGTAGTAATTTTTATATCTAATGAAATATAAAATGATTAATCAAAAAACACTTCTTACTATTTCAGCACAGAGCCCTCACGTAAAGTCAAATCTGCTCTCAGGAAGCCTTCGGAGCCTGTGGCGGGCAGTGACTGGACCTCTTTTTGATTTCCAAGGAGACCCGGCTCAGCAAGGCGGAACCCTTATTTTAGGTCCAGGTGAGTTCAAGGCCAAGGTCCAGCCATTAACTTTGGTGGCTTTTACAAATCCAAAGGCCACCAATTTTCTGCAGTAGGTGGCACCATGTGAAAATGGGCAGCATGGGCTAATAGAATATAGGGGCATCTTCTGTCTTCAGAGGCTTCTGTGTGTTTTGAAGTTTGTGAGTGTGATGAGTTCTACACACAGTTCTATACCTGAATAAGTGCAGGGCTTTGGGATAGGAAAAGTCAGCTGTGAGCTGGTGACTTATGTATGACTATTATGGTCTTCAAAATCTCAGAGGGAGAGCACTGGCTTAGCACATGAGGCCCTGGGTTCATTACCCAGCCAAAAATAAAGAAAGAAATAAATAATTTCATAAATAGCTCAGTGGAGGTGAGCAGGTTTTTTTTTTTTTTGGTAGGACTGGGGTTTGAACTCAGGGCTTCGTGCTTGCAATGCAGGCACTCTACCACTTGAGCCACACCTCCAGTCCAGGTGAACAGTTTTTAGAGAAAAATCATCAAGCACTTTTGTGTGTGTGTGTGTGTGTGTGTGTGTGTGTGTGTGTGTGTATTAGGGTTTGAACTCAGGGCCTACACCTTGAGCTACTCTACCAGCCCATTTTTTGTGATGTGTTTTTTCAAGATAGGTTTTCATGGACGATCTTCTGATCTCTGCCTCCTGAGTGTCTAGGAATACTGGTGTGAGCCATAGGCGCCCGGCAAGCGCTTTTTTTTTTTTTTTTTTTTTTCTCAATGAAAGAATCTATCTAGTTATTTTACTGAAAGCTAACAAAATGAGGGGACTTGCACAGACTCAGAAAGGAAGTCAGTCCCAGGGACAGCTTATTCAGTAAGAATTGCCAAGCCAGGCATGGTGTCTCGGACCTGTCATCCTAGCTACTCAGAAAGTAAGAGATTGAGGGGATCAGGGTTCCAGGCCAGCCTGGGCAAAAAAGCCCATGAGACCCCATCTCAACCCATGGCTGGAAGTGGAGATGTGCGCCTGTCATCCTAGCTATGCACGGAAGCACAAATAGGAAGATTATGGTCCACGTCTGCTTGGGCATAAAGTGAGACCCTATCTGAAAAATAAACAATACAGCCAGGCACTGGCGGCTCAATGCCTGTAATCCTAGCTACTCAGGAGGCAAAGATCAGGAAGATTGAGGTTTGAAGCCAGCCCAGGCAAATAGTTTAAGAGACCCTATATTGAAAATACTCATCACAAAAAGGGCTCAAGGTGAGAGCCCTGAGTTCAAGCCCCAGTACCATAAAGAAAAATATCTAATACAAAATGGGCAGAGCACCTGCCTAGCAAGTGCAAGGCAACCAAAAAAAATTTCATTGTCATCTTAGACCCCATAACCATACTTTTCATGACTTTATTGATCAGTTTGGGCCACTCTGCTCAGTGTGGAGTTGAATTTCTACCATGTTGAAGTTTGCAATAAGGAATAAACACCACTTATGGCAATGCCAAAAAGTCTAAATCACTGTGTTGCAAGTTGATTTTCTTTTCTTTCTTTCTTTCTTCCTTTGTTTTCTTTTCTTCTTCTTTTTAATTTTTTTTGTGGTACTGGGGATTGAAGTCCCCAGTACGTACCACTTGAGCCACACCTCCAGTCTAAAATCCAGATTTTTAAAAGGAAGTCTTTAAAGGAGGATTTTGACTTTTTGACTGAATGTTAGGACTTTTGGGCTTTTTTTTTTTTTTTATCAACTGACATCTTCCTTTCCCTATTGCTCATGGATTTATACCAGTTAGATTACTGTAAAAGAAGCCCTTCAGGACTGGGGTTACAGCTCAGTGGCAGTGCACATGCTTTCTGGATTCAGTCCCCAGTACCAAAAGCTAAGTAAATAAATGAGCCCTGTTTCATGAGAATAAGTCCTGTAAATTTGCCCCAAGAGCCATTGAGCCATTTGGATGTTGTTTGTTGGTGTTTTGGGTATAAACCCAGAACCTCATATATGCTAAGGAAGTGTTTTATCTCTGAGCTACACCCCTGGCCCAGAGGTGTGATTTTTTGTTTAGTTTTGTTTTTGTTTTTTGTGGTGCTAGGGGTTGAACCCAGGGCCTTGTGCACATGTGAGTCAAGTTCTGTACCACTGAGCTACAGGCTTAGCTCCCAGAGCCATGTACTTTTTTTTGGCTCTGCTGGGTTTGAACTCAGGGCTTTGTGCTTGAGCCATGCCCCCAGCCCCAGAGCCATATTTTTGAATGAGGAATTTCCATCCTGAGCCGGGAAAGGGGTTGTTTTTTTTTTCTTTTTTGAGTTCCTCCTCTCTATGTCTCTGAATTACTTGACCACACCTTCAGTGGAGTAAGAGTGAAGAGCATGGAGTGTGCTATTCATAACACAAAAAGAATACGTGATGCTGTGCACTAGGTGTGGTTTTAAACACAGCTCTACACCATGGCTAACCCAGTATTTCATCTCGCCTTACTAGATAGTGAGCCAAGTTAGGATATTAACCCTAAGGAGTACTGTGGATGGCAGATGGGTGCAGTACAGAAAACGTGCCACTGAATCTAGTGGTTTAAGTGAAAATTCTGGTCTTTAGTTCAAGAACCTAAGTAAGCAGCACCCAGACTATAGCTATGACTTCTTTGAGTTGATGTAAGGATTGTGGAGATCTGTGTGTATTGTAACTGATTGTCTTATGCCTTATTGTTATTATTATTATTATTATTTATGGGACTGAGGTTTGAACTCAGGGCTTCATGCTTGCAAAGCAGGTGCTCTACAACTTGAGCCACACCTCCAGTCCATTTTGCTCTGGTTATTTTGCACAGTTTATTTTTTTTTTGGGTGTACTGGGGTTTGAACTCAGGGCCTCATGCTTGCAGGCATGTGGTCTTCTACTTGAGCCACTGCCAGTCCCCTGCTCTGGTAATCTTGGAGATGGGGTCTTGCAAGCTGTTTGCCCAGGCTGGCCATGAACCGCAATCCTCTGAAACTCAGACTCCCAGGTAGCTACGATTAAAGATGTGAGTCACCAGCACCCAACTTAATACCTTATTTTGAAACCTCTTTTGGACTACATTAAATCAGTGTTTGGGAGTGATTTCTGTGTGGATGGGGCTGGGGATCAAATCCATGGCCCCACGCACACTAGTCATGCGTCTAGCACTGAGCTCCACCCTCAACCTCAGGAGTGAATTTTTCTGAAGCAAGTGATTTGTTCCATGATTACATATATTAAGAATCAGAGGTGATTTTAGAGCTTGATGTCTATGTTAATACTGGGTTCTGCCTGTTTGACAGGACATTTTGTTTAATTATATTTAATAAAACCTAACTGAAGTTTATAACTTAAGAATGCTTCCTCTGGATCTCACAAACATCAAATATCACATTTATTTAACTACGCCCTTATCATACTTTATTGCCATAATGAAAAGTTATGCTGGCAATATAGCAAAAATTATGTGCTCTGGGGGATTAGTTTTTCCCTTTGGACTAATTAAAAGTTGTAAAGCTTCCTTGGTCTAGTAAGCAGTAAATCTACTGAGTAATCCTTACTGTGTGAACCTTAGCCTTTTATTCTTACTCTCTTCCAGGTAACAACATCCACTTCATACACCGCGATAGGAATAGATTGGATCACAAACCCATAAACCCGGTTTTGCAGCTCGTAGGCGTTCAGCAGGTGAACTTCACGAACAGACCTGCTGTTGTCCACGTGTGACTTAATATGGGAATCTGTCACTTGCAAATGGGCTATCGAAATGGGACCTTAAATGCCAGGGCGTCCCATGCTTAAGTGGTGTCTGACTCTCTGGGCCCTACCAGACACGGAGGGGTTTTAAAAGCACCAGGAGAACAGTTGTCAAAAAGGTGACGTACTTTTAAAATTTTATAGCTTTTAAAATTTTATGTAAAATAAGCATAAATTACAAAAGAAAACTTTAATGTTACACAATTATGAATACTCTTGCTAAAATTATTTACATTATATCCATTCAGTAGAAGATGCTCTTAGCAATTAAAATATAATTAAAATTAAAATATAATTAAATTTTAATCAAAATATCTTAGCAATTAAAATATAGGGAAGAATATGTTAAGGGAAGTGAATGCAACCCAAGGCCATTTTATTCAGTGAAGAAAGCAGGACGTCAAACTCTGTAAACAGTATAACCACTTTTTGGTATGCGTGTATATATATATATTTTTTGTATGCTTAGAAAAAAGACAGGAAATAAACACACCAGCACATTGCCAGTGGGTCGTCTGTGTGCTTTCTTTCCCAGATGTTTCTGCATTTCCCAAGTGTCCTCTATGAGCACAACTGCTGTGTATGTCAGGAAAAGGTCTCTATAAACATTACGGACAGATCCCTGTCTCTGTGGAACCTCACAGAGGTGCAGGTGACACAGGATGCAGTCCATGAGTTCCATCCTAACTGCTTTACTTAGAGGAGATAAAACTGAACCTCCCAGAGCCCCTGGTCACCAGCCACCCACTGTCCACTTCATTAGGGTTTTATGTGGGATGAAGGCAGTAGGAGAAGAATACTTGTTTTAGGTTTTTATTTTTTTCTTTAGTGTGTTGATCCTGGGGATCAAACCCAGGAACTTCACACTTGCAAAGTAAGCACTCTGCCACTTGAGCCACACCTCCAGTCCATTTTGGTCTGGTTATTTTGGAGATGGGGGTCTTGTGAACTCTTTGCCCAGGCTGTCTTCGAGCCTCGAGCCTCCCGATCTCTGCCTCCAGAGTATCGAGGATTACAGGTGCAAGCCAGTACACCTGGCGCTTTTTGTGTTTTTAAATGGCGTATGGTACTTTGGAAGGTTAAATGTGTATGCTATGTGTGTTTGTGCACATATGTGTGTATGTGTCTCTATGTAGCTGTCTACACACACACATGCACCAGGGCATGTTTTGGAGCTGTATTCATTGGTTTGTGCCTCATTTTATTCCACAATAATTGTCTTACAGCCTAAAGGTTGAAAGAAAAAGCACACAATAAATTTACATTTTTATACAGTAAATGGAAAAGTAATTGCTACTTTTTGTTTTTCAGTACTGGGGCTTGAACTCAGGACCTACACCTTAAGCCACTCCACCAGCCCTTTTTATTTTTTTGGTTATGGGTTTTTTTTTTGAGATAGGGTCTCTTGAACTATTTACCCAAGCTGACTTCAAATCACGATCCTCCTGATCTCCGCCTCCTGAGTAGCTAGGATTACAGGTGTGAGCCACTGACGCCTGGCAATTACTACTCCTTTAGAACATGCAGCTTTATACTAAGCTCTACTTTAAGTTCCTACCCAGAATAACATGGTGGCATCTCTCTTGCTCGGGCTCTGGGCTGCGTACCACCTTAACAGTGATGTGGTCTGAAGATTAAGGAAAGAAAGTTCCGCTGTCTCTTGTGTTTTATGTGCCGTGGGAAATTTAACGGGCAGAAAGTAATCCTTCTGTCACCCTAGCTACATGGGAGGCTGAGATCAGTAGGATCATGGTTTGAGGCCAGCCAGGGCAAATAGTTTGTGAGACCCAATCTCCAAAATAACCAGAGCGAAATGGGCTAGAGATGTGACTCATGTGGTAGAACACCTGCTTTGCAAGGATGAAGCCCTGTGTTCAAACCCCAGTTCTACCAAACACACACACACACACACACACACACACACACGAGGTGAATAAATGATAAACATCCCTTTACCTGGCACACTCAACTCACAGTAGTGTGAGGGAGGTCTTGGAAGAATACTGTCAATGAAATGCTCCAAGAAGGTTTCCTCATGAATATTTAAAAGCAGCTTACAGCTAGACCTGTAATCCTAGCTACTCAGGAGGCAGAGATCAGGAGGATCATAGTTCGAAGCCATTTGGGGCAAGTAGTGTGAAAGACCCTATTTGAAAAAAACCCACCACAAACAAAGGCCAGTGGAGTGGCTCAATGTGTAGGCCCTGAGTTCAAGCCCCAGTGCTGGGAAAAAAAAAAAAAAAAAAATCAGACCACAAGTGTAAACTAGCCTCATTCATCTCAATGAGGTATTGATCAGATATCTTTTGGAAGTCAAACTTGTCTCTAGAAAATTATTTTAAATATTAGGCCAATCTTCTTTCAATGCCATTTTTAAAGTGGAATATTTTTAATGTTCCTTTAGAAATCACCACAGCACACTGTTATTTACACTCTAAGAGTAGCTTGAAATCACTGGCATTTCCAGACTCTGACACCTAACAACTTGAAATACAATGTGTGAGTGTATTTGCCAACTTGATGTAAATAAAGAACGGCTTCACATTTTCAAACAACATGCACTCATGTCTTAGGAGCACAATGTTCCATCCTTCTTTCTGCTTAAACCAGTGGGTTTTTCCACTCCATTTCCCTACACTGGGAAGCCCAGACTTTGACGTTTTGCTGCTCACGTGTACATTGGCAAGTGTGAGAGCCTCCTGTGAATTAATTGTGTTTTCCAGGCAAGAGGGAAAGGAAGAAAATGAAAATGCTCTCAAGAATATATTGAATGGAGCTAAGCATGGTGGTGCATGCCTATAATCTCAGTGATCTGGAAGGCTAAGGCAGGAGGATTGCAAGTTTGAGGCCAGCAACTTAGTGAGGCTCTGTCTTAAAATAAGATAAAAAGAAAAAGACTGGATAGGAACCTCAGTGGTACTCTGCTTGCCTAGCATGTGCAAGGCCATGGGTTTGATCTCCCATACCACAAATAAACATACACACACAAAGAAATGACCCATGTATGTTATATTTTTTAGGGAAATAAAACATAGCCCCAAAGGTATCCTGGTAGGGAGACCTGTGACCACAGATAACTTATCATTTTTTTGTCATTTTTGTAGAAGAGAAAATGTATCACTTTCCTAATGTTGAGAAATTAGTCTAATACTGACTTAGAGTCCATAGCCTTGCAATGTAATCACATGATAAAAATTATAAAAGGTGCCAAGTCCTGGTGACTCATGCTTGTAATCCCAGCTACTTGGAAGGCTGAGCTCAGGAAGATCTCGGGATTCCAGGCCAGCCTTGGCAAAAAAGTTCTCAGAACCCCATTTCAACAGGAAAAAAAAAAAAAGCTGGGTGTGGTCACACACACACCTGTCATTCCAGTTACAGTGTCATGAAATAGGAGTTTTTACTCCAGACCAGACCTGCAAAAAAACAAGACATATTTCCAAATAACCAGAGGAAAAAGGACTGGCAGAGTGGCTCAAGTAGTAGAGCACCAGCCTAGCAAGTGTGAAGCCCTGAGTTCAAATCCAAAAGCTGTGTGTATGGCTCAGCAGTGGAGCCCTTGTCTAGCATGTAAAAGGTCCTGAGTTTGAGATCTTGCACTGCAGTGTGTGTGTGTGTGTGTGTGCGCGCGCAATCAAAGTAATTCTGTTTGCATATTCGCTTAGGTTATTTTATTTAAGATAGAAAAATAGAGAATAGACCCATATATAGGAATTATGCATATATATATGTGTGTGTGTGTGTATGTATGCACAGTTTATTTAAATATGCTTATTGATGCATAAACTGTATCTTAAAAACACTGTCTACCTGTTTGGTTTGAAGGCACAAAGGGATAAGAGTCTTTTTTTTTTTTTGGCAGTACTGGGGTTTGAACTCAGTGCCTTGTGCTTGCTAGGCAGGCCCTCTACCACTTGGGCCACTCCTCCAGCTCAAAAGATTCTTTACTATACATTAATCTATATTGCTTTGTCCTCTCCAAAGTTTGAACCATGCAGTGCAGATATATTATCTATTCAGTGTAAATACACATTTTTTGTGGCACTGGCCTCCACTTAAACTCTGCTAGCCCTAAATACACTTCAACAAGTAATAAAAATGCTAATTTATCATTACACTACAACCTCTAGTTGTTGTTAGAAGTTATTGGTAGAAGATTCAACTAAAATGCAGTGCCAACCTCATGGCTTTGAAATTCTAGTTCTGGTGTTATCTCTTGTTATCTCAGTTTTCCACAAAGGAAAATATGCTAAGGTTGACTGGGAAGATGCAAGTAAATAAGATGCCACATCTCCCATCTTAGAGCAGAAAGGAGGTCGAGCCAGTACTATGGCTCAGTGTGGGCTTCCAGCTAGTCAAGGAGCTCACACATGCTAATTCTGGAACAGTTATGAAAATAGGAAGGATCAAGTAAGAGAAGAGGATGGTAAAAGTATTCTAGAAGAGGCCACAGCCTGGGCAAAAGTCAGCGTATGAAAGGCCATGGCACTTCTGGGGACTCAACTGGGAGGGCATCATTGCTGATGTGCCCAGGGCAAGTGAAGGATGGAATGAAGACATGCTGCTGAACAGGTGAGAGTGAGATCCCAGAGGCCTGGTCCAGCATCTAAACAGCATTACTACTGAAGGGAAGTAGGCCTGGAGAAAGAAAAGAACTGAGCCAAACCTAGAACAGAAGCCAGTGGCAGTGGCTCACGACTGTAATCCTAGCTACTTTGAGATTGAGATTGGGAGGATCACAGTTTGAGGCCAGCCCAGGCAAATTGTTCTTCAGACTCCCATCTCTAAAATAACCAGAGAAAAATGGACTGGAGGTGTAACTCAAGTGATAGAGTGTCTGCTTTGCAAGCCTGAAGCTCTGAGTTCAAACCCCAGTCTCACTAAAAAAACAAACAAAAAAACACAGGGACATGTAAAAAGGACACAAAAGGCAGTATGAAGCAGTCTCTACTAGTCAAATCTGGGACAATTTCAGCATCAAAATAGTGACAGTAAGGGATCGTACCCCATTGTATAAAAGTAGAATTCAATAATCCATAAGCCACCTATGTACATACCCACAGCATAATGGGAAAAGAAAGGTTTCTTTGTATAGGATGACAATAAATGTAGACAACTAGACAATGCTATAGCCATTATAGTAACAACCCATTCTGCACTACCAATGGGTACAAAATTGGTGTACACAAGTGGTGGTCTTTAACGTATCTCCCCAGGAATGACAGTTTCAAAAGGAAAGTCCATAGGTTCAGAGAGGATAACTGCCAGACACTTCCTTAATGAACCCAATAATCCAAGTTCACCAATTCCCCAGAAAGGGACAAACTTGCCATGGGCCTCCTAAAGTGATATAGCAAAGATGCACCATCACTATGGAGAACGCCTACAAAAGTGCTGGTGGAGAGGCTCAAGTGGTAGAGCACCTGCCTAGGAAGTGGGAGGCCCTGAGTTCAAACCCCAGTACCACCAAAAAGAAAGTGCACGTCCTTAGGATTTAGGAACAGGGGCAAATGCTCTAAAGGAAGTTTTTTGACAATTGGTGAACTGTGAAGCTGGGCTAACTCACATTGTAGTAATGCTAAGTGTTCTCATTTGACAATTACATTATGGTTATGTAAAAGGAGTCTCCGTTTTTAGGAGATAATCTCAGATGGCCCAGAAATTAAACTTTTCTCTCAAAATTAGTTTGTCCATAGGACTGAAAATTTCCAAAATGAAACAACAAAACCAAAACCAAATAACCCCCAAAAAATGAAGATCGCTCTCGCAGACACGTGTGGGATGTTCCAGGGGAGAAAGTCAGGTGGACTTTCCCTAAATGGGGA